TTGGGTGGAGGAGAATGTCACGGACAAATAGTCCCACATCGGCTAGGTGTGGGGCCGAAAAGCAGTATTTAAGTCCTGAGCTGCCCACCACCCATAAGGGCTTTTTTGGGAGGTGACAGGGGGCTCTTGGTCACACGAACGAAGAGGAGCGGGGGCTTCTGTCGCGCGAGAGAGGGGAGCAGGCATCGGATGCCAGAGAAATTACATGCATGCGGTGTCAGATCCTGACCGTATATCACGGTGATCTACGGTCAGGATTATTTTCATTTAAAAAAAAATTAGGTGGGGCCCACCGAAATACATCTGGACCGTAGATCAGGTGATTTACGGTCCGGATCGGACACCGCACGCAAGCTACGTGTGGTGTCCCATCCGTATGGAATAATTTTTCCGGATGCCGAGAGGCAAGGCGAGAGCGGGAGTTTTTTTTTTTCTCTATAAGCCCGTCTCCTTCAATTATTTAGTTTGATCCTCCAAATGGAACTGAATAACATCTAAATAATATCAATGAACACCTGAATTAAGTGTTGTTATTTCAAATTTCAAATTTTAAATTCAGACTGCCCAAGCTGATGTTATTGACTCGGGTCTAACCCAAATCAAATCCGAATATAACCTGAGTTGAGCCCGGCCCGCACTCAGTTCGTGCATCGATTTCCATGTTAATTGCTCGTGCGCGTAACCATAGTGAATAGGTGTCCTTCCTAGCTAAAGTCAACATCCCGGACGCATCCGCTTGATCCATTTTGTCATCGGGGGTCGTCCGGACGAGTTCATCAACGGTAGGGCCAAAAAATGTGTCAAATTTAATTTCTTTGAATTTTGGGTCGTGACAGTTTATTTTGAAAATTGACTTCAACTTAAAAGTAGGTGCAATATGTGAATTGTGGTGTTCACGTTGCCGGGTCATGGAAGATTCACCTGTGGTCGTCTCATCTTGTAGGAACTAATTTTCGGGTCCTCTACATGTTAGTCCTTAGCCCTTACAACTAAGAGTCGAGTGTTTGGGACTACTCATGCGAGGTCTGCACAAAAGTGAGTCAAGAAGTGGCTCGAAGTTCTATGGGAGGTGGGCTCCATTGCTAGTCCAGTATGTTGGTCAATAAGAACTTCTAAGGCTAAATTTTAGATTCTGGGAGCAGGAAACTAAAGTCTCACTGAAAAAGAGGTCAACACGGCCCAGCTTTCCTGCATCTTCCCTGCTGCTGCTCAGTCTTCCCAGTGCCTAACGAGCTGTCGCCAAGTTCCACTTGCACCTACCCTGCGCCCAGTCTTCCCAGTGCCTAACGAGCTGTCGCCAAGTCCCACGTGCACCTACCCTGTTGTCGCATCCTCCCTGCCCTCCACTTCCTTGCTGCCATAGCCTCTCAAACCACCCCCACACCAGCTGCCCAGCCAAAGTTCATCACCTTCACCCTCGCCCAAGGGTCCTATTTGTACTCGTGTCATCTTATTTCCAATTTTATGAACCCTTCTTTTATTTTTTTTCTAAATTCCAGCAATAATAAATCTACTTGCTTATTTTTGGATTACCCCAGTATCAAATTTTCACTTTCATCGCTTGGTATCTCGAATTTCTCGAAGAATTTATTGTCTGCCTTTCTTTATACTTGATGCAAATTTAAAGTCTACAAATGCCGTAAGAGATGAAAAAGACCTGTGAAATTGTAATTAAGTCAAACATGTAGTTTGTAAATGTTTAAGTTCACATAATTTTGTAAACATTATTACAATGAAGGCACATTTCAAATATGTGTTGTGGTTGATGGATCTTTCTCATTCAAACTATGATTGTGGCTACTATTGTTCAGAGTATCTCTTGAGCACCTATTCACGTGGTATTGTCAAATTACCAAAAAGGAATCCCCTACAACTATCATTTTTGTTGACTGGGTTCTCTATACAAAACAGAACAGGCATGAGGCATTTTTGTTGCTCGGGTTCTCTGCACAGAACAGAACAGGAAAATATTACCTGATAATTGTTCCTGTTCAGTATAGAGAACCCGAGCAACAAAATGAACTATACATACAACTATATGCCAACAGATTACAGGGAAAACTAATTCAGTGACAATCCTTTATGTTTCAGAATGGCAGGCATGAAGCAAAAATGAGAAATCGGCTACCTTTAGTAGATTGGTTAACTTTCATACAGCATAAAATTCATACAAACAAAATAAACAATTAGTTTTAAAGCAAAAAAATAAAATAAATGAATAAAAGAAAAAAACAAGTGATTGAGAGATTTAAAACATTGACTTCACGGTAGTGAACAAGAAAAATGTGAATCCTGCTTTTATGGTAATAACTCGCTTACCTCTTGACGAAATCAATCGATGTTTCGAAAGATAACGAAACTTTCTACAAATTCTGTGGCATACATACAAAACAATTTTGAATATACTTGCTACAATTTTTTGAAACTTTAGCTAAAATGAGATCTGTATGGGATAGAATATATAAATTTGCCATCAACAAATCAATCAATTTCCAAAAGCAGTAATGTAACTACAACATCAAAGAAATGCTACTTATCACAAAAAAACAATTTAAAGTCTTTGCAACCCCATCCACTTAAGCCACACAATACTAGAGTAAATAAAATCATGTTTGATCATATCAACAACTGCAAATACAATTAGGGTAAATCTCCTTTTAAGGTAGATTGGATCCCAACGTTTCTCATGATTATTATTTTCAAATTGCATGAAGGCCACACAATTTCTATGTATTTACATATCTAAAACCCCAAACTCTCTACATTTATACCGCCGAAATCTTTCATATCACATCAAGAGTACCATTATTTTAGCCTTAAAAAGTAAAATATAAAGATAACGTGACATATATGTAAAAATTGAAGTTTAGACATTATATATGCAAATATATAAGAATTGAGTGATATGTAAATCTTCCAAATTGCTTTTACAGTTAACAGGTCAACTCTAAATATTTTAAATATAAACTACTTGCTTTACACTATTTAAAATACTCATAAATCGCGATACTTGAAACCAAACAACTCATTAGATTATTTGAACCAAGAGTGGCAACTGTTAGCTAGAATTAGAATAAAGTGGAAAAAGATGTCATAGAGAGGGCCGCACCAAACACCCCAAGTGCCATAATAATCAGAAACAAGTGCAGACCAATTGAAAGAACAGGATGAAAACAAGCCATGCATTCCAGCCTTAAAACAACATTAAACAACCCATAATTCTCCCGAGCGAGAAAATTTAAAAAAAAAAGAAAAATACATGGATTATGGGCACTGAATTTAACAAAGAATGATCTCAGATAATCCATGATGAACAACATATAAAAATGTTAATCTGAAGGGCACAATTTGGAAGTGATTTAAGAGAAATTTCAGGTTTTGCAGTATTTTCATAGAACCAAAAAAATCTTACTCTTTAAAAATTATCACAGAATAGTATCTATAATCTATATCAATCTTCACAATTTACATATCATTCTATCTTAATGTGAACATATCAAACTAAGGGGGTGTTTCGTAGCATTCTGTTTAGAGAATTTAGCCATGAATTTAACTTAAAACCAGCCAAACATAAATAAATAAATAAATAAATAAATCCAACGCTCCAATAAATCAATTTCTCACGTTCCGTCTCTGTTCCTTGTCTTCCGTTTGCTTTACGACGTAAATCTGGATTTATTAAATCCATTTATGGGCGGATTTACAGGATTTGTTCAGTCGTCGCTCGTTGCAGCTTACGAGGTCGATCTCCACCTGTAAAGAGTTTAATAAATCCAAATTCACTAGAGTTGATAAATCCTATTCAATGTAAAACCAAGTTGCAGCCAAACACTGCATAAGGGGTTGTATGGTAATGGCTTTAGCAACTTTAATAAATCCTACATATTTGGATTTTCTAAATCCTACCAACATAAAGTTTTAGTAAAACTGGGAATTAAGGCAAATAAATTGGATTTACTAAATCCAAGATTTAAAATTGCCATTGTTTCAGTCCGGCTAGATTTAAGTTAAATCCTGCTTAAATTCATTACCAAACAGTCCCTAAAAAAATCATCACCCATTCCCCAAGAAAATCTTATGCAATAAAAAACATGTGCAGCACACCTAAACAATCTAATTAGTATTGGGTTAATATTCTGACATACGAATCAAAATAGAGGAATAAGCAAGTGCTCATCTCCATAAAAAGTTTAAGAAAATTAAGAAGCTTCTGCCTGCAAATAGATTATTCAATCACTTGCACAACTCTTAGATCCTACAGACAGTGAAAAACAACATAATTAATTGACAAAAGAACCTCAATGAATTACACAAACAATAGAATTGAAATGCAGATAAAAAACTCAATTTGATAATGATGCAATGATGAATATGAAACTTAATATTTCTGTATCATTTCTGCTTCCCAACATTCTCCAGGTACCACCTGTAAGTCTCTATAAGCCCCTCCTTCAATTCAATCTTTGGCTCCCATCCCATGGCTGCCAACATAGAATTATCCATCAGCTTCCTTGGTGTTCCATCAGGTTTTGTGGAATCCCACACCAACTCTCCCTCAAATCCAACCACCACTTTCACCAACTCAGCCAGCTCCTTTATGCTCACCTCTCTCCCACTCCCCACATTGACATGACTAAGCCCGGAATATCGATCCATTAAGAAAACCACTGCATCAGCAAGATCATCTACATGCAGAAACTCCCTTAATGGCGAACCGGTTCCCCATACCACCACCTCTTTCGCCCCACTGGACTTAGCCTCATGGAATCGACGGATTAAAGCTGGTAAAACATGAGAGTTCTCAGGATGAAAGTTATCATTAGGTCCATACAGATTAGTGGGCATTGCAGAGATAGCATCCCATGAGTATTGGATTCGATAAGCCTGACACATTTTGATGCCGGCGATCTTCGCAATAGCGTACCACTCATTGGTAGGTTCAAGTGGACCTGATAGAAGTGCAGATTCAGGTATGGGCTGCGGGGCGAGCTTAGGGTAGATGCACGATGAACCGAGGAAGAGGAGCTTGCGCACAGATCCGCAACGGTAAGCTGCGTGGATGACATTGGTCTGGATCTGGAGGTTAACGGTGATGAAATCCGCGGGGAAAGTGGAGTTCGCGTGGATGCCGCCTACCATGGCGGCGCAGAGAATGGCGTAACGAGGACGCTCGGCGGAGAAGAAGGACTCGACTTCAGACTGACGAGTGAGATCAAGCTCCGTGCGCGAGCGGAGGAGGAGGTTTGTGAACCCAAGAGAAACCAGACGGCGGAGGATAGCGGAGCCAACCAGACCGAGGTGTCCAGCTACGAATACCTTCTCCGACTTGTCGGAGAAGAAGGTGTCTTCCGGCGATGGGGTTTCTGATGGGAAAAAGAATTAGGATTTGCGGCGGAGAAATTCGGAAGAGAGATCAGCGGATTATTACCATTCGCAGCGTTTTCCATAGCCTTTAGAACGTTTCTCCGGCGTTGATCGCCAAAGAGAGATCTGAGAGGTGTTTTCTTCTTCGAACGCCGCTGGTCCCGTCGACACCTGCTCCGGCGGCCCCCCCTTGGCCCGTTG